GTGCCCAAACCAGTGCTGCCCACCAGTGCCACCCACCAGTCGTGACCCCAGCAGTGCTGCCAGTCTGATCTAACAGGACTCAGTGCCCATGGGGTTGTGCCAGTCAGTGCCTTCCAGTCTAGTGCCCAGAAGTTCTGCAATGCACCTTGCATTCTGCGTCTTGTGTAACTATTTTTCTTTAGTGCTCTAATCAAGAGACTTCAAACCATCAATCCTAGAGACTAATTATGAGTTTGTGTTTCCCGCGGGGCATTTCCTGTCTCTTCTGCAAGTTACATTTTGTCTAGTGGCATTTTCGTCAACCCCCATTAAGTGAGTAATCAGTGCCGCCTATCAGAGCCACCTCAGTATAGTACTGATAACTTTCAGGCCCTTTTTGCTGCCTATCAGTGCCCATCAGATGCCGCCTATCTTTCAGTGCCCATCAGTCCACCTTTCAAGGCAAATCAGTGAAGGAGAAAGTTGCTTACCTGTTTGAAAAATTTTATAAAAAAACAAATAAACATTTCATTTTTTTTTTGGAATTTTTTTGCAAAATTTTTCAATTTATAGCGCAAAAAGTAAAGCGCCTAGTGGGGTTTAAAGCTGACCAAAAGAAAGCTCTATTTGTGGAAAAAAAAAATGTTACAAAATTTCAGAAGGCTCCTACAATGTTGCATATACCGCGCAATTGTCAATCAAAGTGACCTAATCAGCGCTGAATTAGCTGAAAATAGGCCTGGTAAGGAAAGGGGTCCTAAGTGCCTGGTAGGCAAGTGCACCTTAAATTTTCTGGGAGGAGACTTTGTGCACTTTGAGTGTCCTAGAAAGAGCTTTTGGACACCATGAAGGTCCCAGGTAGATCTATGGAGCACCTTGAGAATCCCAGGAAGAGCCTTGGAGCACCTTGAGAACACCAGGAAAAGCCTTGGGACACCTTGAGATTGGAAAAGCCTTGGAACTTCTGGGAATGTCTGAAGGAGTCTTAGGGCACATTGACAGTCCCAGTAGGATCTGTGGAGTACCTTGAGAGTCCTGAGAAAAGCCTTAGTGTACCCTGGAAGTCCAGGAAGAGTCGTAATGTGCATTGAGAGTTCCAAGAAGACTTAAGATGCCTTAGGAGTCCCATTAAGAGCTGTGAAGCACCTTGAAAGTACTGGGAAGCACCTTGAGAATCCCAGGTAGATCTTTAGAGCACCATAACAATCCCAAAACAAGCTTTGGAGCGCCATGAGAGTCCAAGAAAGAGCAATAGGACACCTTGAGAATCCTAGTAAGAGCCTTGGAGCACTATAGACGACCTGGGAAGAGGATTGGAGCACATTGAGGAACCCAGAAAGAGCCATAGGGCACCTGGAGAATCCTAGGAAGAGTCTTGGGGCACCTTAAGAGTCCCAGGAAGATCCTTAGACCACCTACAAAGTACCAGAAAGAGCCTTAGGGCACCTTGAGAAACCTAAGAACAGCATTTGAGGAATCACAGTCAAGTTTCCAAGGCAGGTTTGAAGCTGACTGGTAGCTGTAAGAAACCTCTTAGTACTGGAATTATTTTTTTATATCAGGATTTTATGTGCAATAAGAAGGGTTTTCCAGCATCACCAGCGGCTGTGTTCTAAGACCAACTGATCACTAATAGAAGGCAGTAAGGTGTACATTAATATAATTTAGTAATATCTAGGTGAAAAACTAAACTACCTTTTAGTTTTAGATTTAGAGTGGGGAAGGATTAGAACCTCATACTGGTTTTTTAATGCTATTTGGGGTTCTATCAAATATATTTTCTCTTGTTTTCTGTCCTGTGACAACGGTTTTGCTAGAGAGGAAATGAGGGAAAATCTACAACTGGGAAATAAACAAATAAAAATCATACAAAGATTCTAGGAAAATGTCAGCAAGATAAGGGTCCTAATATCTTTCCCTACTCTATCTGAATGAATGAAGAAAAAAGTTTTGTATACAAGATGTACAGTTGTGTTCAAAATAATAGCAGTGTGTTGAAAAAAGTGAATAAAGCTCAAAATCCTTCTAATAGCTTTTATTTCCATACACACAAATGCATTGGGAACGCGACACATTCTATTCCAAATCAAAACATGAAGAAAAAAAAAATCAAATTTGTGTTGTTCCTATAAAAAATTTGAAGAAAAGTGAATATTAGACAGTTCAAAAAAAATAGCAGTGTTTGTATTCTTCTTTACAAACTCAAACATTCACTATATAAACTGAAAAATGTTTGAAGATTTTGCTTTCCTTTGAATCACTTCATGAATATTTGGTTGTATAGTCGCACTGTTTCTGAGAACTGCTGTACATCTGTGTTGCATGGAGTCACCCAACTTCTGGCCCCTGTGATCAGGTATTCCAGCCCAGGATGATTGGACTACATTCCACAGTTCTTCTCTATTTCTTGGTTTTGCCTCAGAAACTGCATTTTTGATGTCACCCCACAAGTTTTCTATTGGATTAAGATCCGGGGATTGGGCTGGCCACTCCATAACGTCAATCTTGTTGGTCTGGAACCAAGATGTTGCACGTTTACTGGTGTGTTTGGGGTCGTTGTCTTGTTGGAACACCCATTTCAAGGGCATTTTCTCTTCAGCATAAGGCAGCATGACCTCTTCAAGTATTCTGATGTATTCAAACTGATCCATGATCCCTGGTATGCGATAAATAGGCCCAACACCGTAGTATGAGAAACATCCCCATATCATGATGCTTGCACCACCATGCTTCACTGTCTTCACAGTGTACTGTGGCTTGAATTCAGTGTTTGGGGGTCGTCTGACAAACTGTCTCTGGCCACTAGACCCAAAAAGAACAATCTTACTTTCATCAGTCCACAAAATGTTGTGCCATTTCTCTTTAGGCCAGTCAATGTGCTCTTTGGCAAATTGTAACCTCTTCAGCACGTCTTTTTTTCAACAGTGGGACTTTGCGGGGGCGTCTTGCAGATAGCTTGGCTTCACATAGGCGTCTTCTAATTGTAACAGTACTCACAGGGAACTTTACACCTTCTTTGATCTTCCTGGAGCTGATTTTTGGCCGAGTACTTGCCATTTTGGCTATTCTTCTATCCATTCGAATGGTAGTTTTTCACTTTCTTCCATGTCTTTCAGGTTTTGGTTGCCATTTTAAAGCATTTGCGATCATTTTAGCTGAGCAGCCTATCATTTTCTGCACTTCTTAATATGTTTTTCCCCTCTCCAATCCACTTTTTAATCAAGGTACGCTGTTCTTCTGAACAATGTCTGGAACGACCCATTTTCCTCAGAATTTCAGAGAGAAATGCACTGTAACCAGCATGTACAACATTTGCTGCCTTCCTTCCTTAAATAAGGGCAATAATTGCCACCTGTTTTTCAAAGAATGAATGACCTCACTAATAGAACTCCACACTGCTATTATTTTGAACATGCCCCTTTCAATTAGTGATTCAATGACACAGAATCAGCAGCATGCATATTATGACTGTTGGGTCTGTTGGATTTCTATTACTCTACTACACCTGCTAGTAAATTATTTGCCATGTAGAAATATCATTTCTACCAAAAACAGTGATTGATCCGGTTAGTGATGTCTGACTGCTATTATTTTGAACACAACTGTATATACTTGTCACTTTCGGTTTCCTATACCATAGAGCTCATCAGTGACCTTCTGGTCCTCCATGAGATCTACGATAAGCCACTGGAACCGCCGGCTTTAGTTCCGGGATCTCCGGCGAGATGGAGATCGTGGAGAGGCATTAGCGGGTGGCGGGATGACTGCTCCCTCCACCTGTAAAAGCAATCCAGCAGCTAATTAGCTGTTCAGATGGCTTTTACAAAAAAACCATCCACCGGATGAAAAAAAACAATACCAGGATGATGCCTGCAGCTGCAGACATCATCCTGATATACCAATTTATCATTTGAAACCCATCATATACGTACGTTACCAGGTCTTCAAGTGGATATTACTGTAGTACTGTGTAGGCAGGTGTGAAGAAATGCTGTAACGTAAGAGTGCTATATATACACTATATTGCCAAGTACTGGGACGCCTGCTTTTACATGCAAGTGAATTTTAATGACATCCCAGTTTTAGTTTGTAGGGTTCAATATTGAGTTGTTCCACGCTTTGCAGCTATAACAGCTTCAACTCTTCTGGGAAGGCCGTCCATAAGGTTTAGGAGTGTGTCTATGGGAATGTTTGACCATTCTTCCAAAAGAGCATTTGTGAGGTCAGGAAATGATGTCGGGGGAGGAGGCCTGGCTCTCAGTCTCTGCTCTAATTCATCCCAAAGGTATTCTATTGGGTTGAGGTCAGGACTCTGTGCAGGCCAGTCAAGTTCCTCCACCCCAAACTGGCTCATCCATGTCTTTATGGACCTTGCTTTGTGCACTGGTGTGCAGTCATGATGGAAAAGGAAGGGGCCATCCCCAAACTGTTCCCACAAAGTTGGGATCATGAAATTGTCACAAAATGTCTTGGTATCAGGGGCGGACTGACAACTCATGGGGCCCCCGGGCAATAGGGGATCATGGGGCCCCTGTGTCCTTGCCCAAACTCAAAAAAGCCTATGAAAAAGATACCAGGGGAAACTCATGGGGCCCCCTATTGACCCCGGGCCCTTGGGCAGTGCCCGAGTTTCCAAATAGTCCGCCCCTGCTTGGTATGCTGATGCCCTAAGAGTTTCCTTCACTGGAACTAAGGGGCCAAGCCCAACCCCTGAAAAACAATCCCACACCATAATGCCCCCCTCCACCAAACTTTACACATGGCACAATGCAGTCAAGCAAGTACCGTTTGGCAACTGCCAAACCCAGACTCGTCCATCAGATTGCCAGACAGAGAAGCGTGATTCATCACTCCAGAGAACATGTCTCCACTGCTCTAGAGTCCAGTGGTGGCGTGCTTTACACTTGGTGATGTAAGGCTTGGATGCAGCTGTTCGGCCATGCGAACCCATTCCATGAAGCTCTCTACGCACTGTTGTTGTGCTAATCTGAAGGCCACATGAAGTTTGGAGGTCTTTAGCTATTTACTCTGCAGACAGTTTGCGACTTCTGCGCACTGTGCGCTTCAGCATGCGCTGACCCCTCTCTGTCATTTTACGTGGCCTACCACTTGGTGGCTGAGTTGCTGTTGTTCCCAGTTGCTTCCACTTTGTTACAATACCACTAACAGTTGACGTGGAATATTTTAGTAGCCAGGAAATGTCACGGATGGACTTATTGCACAGGTGACAACCTATCACGGGACCACGCTTGGAGTCACTGAGCTCCTGAGAGCGACCCATTCTTTCACAAATGTTTGTAGAAGCAATCTGCATGCCTAGTTGATGATTTTATACACCTGTGGCCATGGAGGTGATTGGAACACCTGAATCCAATGATTTGGAGGGATGTCCCAATACTTTTGGTAAAATAGTGTATATTATAAAGTGTGTATACAGCATATATAAATGCTAGTTCTTAAATATATGAGTTCCCCTTTAACTTCCCTGTAAATCATGTATAAGGATGTCCTGCAGCTGTCCTCCCAATTTATCCACAATACCAGCACAGTCAGTGTTCCAGGGGAATGGACATCTCCTCATGACAAACACAATTACTGGCATAAAATGCGCCTTCATTTAATTTAGTAGTGCATCTTGTTGTATCAGTCCACCACATAATCAAATTACTGGCCTACGCTGAGCTCTTCCGAGTTACATATCAGTAAAGAGGGAAGTCATTCCTTCATTGACCCCTTCAGAGCTTCCACCATCCTTGCCCAGCATGCCATGTTATTATTTCACTGCATTAAAGCAAAAACTCCAGGCAGATATAAAAGACACAAATGAATGCCGCTCAGCAAGTAATACATTATTGAATGTATTTTTTAAATCCATGCACTGTAAGTACCTGAATGTGACCTGGTCTAAGACTCTTTAATTCCCTGTACAGCATGGCTGGCATGTAAGAAGAAGAAGCAGCACAAGGTGTCAATCAGTTCATATGTTAACAAGAAGCATGCTGATAGAAGGAGAGAACAGACTGACAGAGAGATGAGTTCCTCACTGCTGCTATCCCTTCACTGTCCAGTCACAGGCTGGTGTGGGTACCCGGGCAACCAAGGCTCAGAGGAAGTGAGTTGAATGATCCTTGCCATCAGACTAACGAAATCTAGCAGCAGACAAAACAGTACAGGGAACCTCTCTGGATTGAAGGTGAATATTGCAGCAAAAGTTTTTTTTTTTTTTTTTTTTATCATTTACCAGGGTTTTTTTATTCTTATCTTGTTATTTTTGGCTGCTTTAAGTGAATGTCTACAGTACCTACTGATGGACAAAAGGAAGTATTTGAATTGAATGGTCCATAAAGTAAAGGCCCATGTTCAGTAACAAGGGATTGTGGGAAAATGTATGGGTGTCAGCCATGATGGGGAAGTGGCTTTATCTTCTTGTGCATAAATAATTTAAAGTATGTAGCGCTCACCCCTAAATAGCCTGGTGATTTGGCCCCTAGGGCTCTTTCCCCAATACATGCACTAGCAGCCAGGCACACACCTCAGTCACTCTTCCGGCTCAGTGATCGGTCTAGGGGCATTCTTTTTGATGCTTTATTGAGAAAAACGTGAACCTGGAAGGGTGCAGGGTAACCATGGGATACTCCGGTAATGTTAAGTAATAACTTGAGGACACCTATCTTCCTCCCAAAGATTCTGAGCACAGTCCTTGTCCCAGTAAATAATCAGCTGAGCTACATAGGGACACCACGAACCATGTCCACTTTTAAGTACCTGCATGCAAGAGGAATGACAGCAGCACACAGTAACTGGAATCTCACACAATGGTCTGTACACACCAGGGGCGGACTGACAACTCATGGGGCCCCCGGGCAGTAGGGGATCATGGGGCCCCTGTGTTCTTGCCCAAACTCAAAAAAGCCTATGAAAAAGGTACCAGGGGCATCTCATGGGGTCCCCTTCTGACCCCGGGCCCTCGGGCAGTGCCTGAGTTTCCAAATGGTCAGTCTGCCTCTGGTACACACTAATGCCTTTGGATAGATGATGCCTCCTTCCAATTTCTGCCAGACATATCTCCTCAGACCAGATCACCAAAAGAAGTGCCTCAGTCAGCTCCAGCAGAGTTTGCTGGAATAGGCCCTCCGAGCTAGCACAGCTGGAACCTCATTGAGCAAAATGAAGAAGCACAACTTGGATTGCCCATAAAGGCGGCAGCCCTTCAGGCTGGTATCTCCTCCTCCTGGACAAGAACCCCTCTGCTTCAGGCCTCAGTCTATTTATGCTCCCTTCCAGCCACCACCTGGGCACCTTCCTCCTGGGTTTGGCTGGGACCACATTCATTTTCATACTGTAGATTTGCTACTCCCAGCCTACTGTTTTCCAGAACCATCCAGAAAATAGGGGAAGCAGGTAAACCTACAGAACTAAAGAACTAAATTTACCTAACCTAGCACCTATCTAGGAAGGTGCTACAAGTGGGGATGGGCAAAAAAACCCATCAGTTTTCTTTTTCTGTGTCCCATTTAAGAGATTTCCCTTTATTTCTTGTCTTGTAGGCACAACAGAAAATAAGAGGAACTCTATAAAAAGTGAGGTTACCTGCTTCTTAGACTGTTATTACTGGAATAAGTGTCTCCATTGGAAGATTTCCCCTCTATTCCTGTTGTGATGACAATTTAGGATTTAACCATTAGCCGCCCGGCCTATAGCCGTTTGGCGGCTGCAAAAATGTTTCAGCTTTCCGGGTGCACGCCATTTGGCGTGCTCCCGCCAATGCGCAGTTTGCGCGGTTGCAGAGCTGCGCAGAGGCGCGATCTGTCATCGGCCGTGTACCTCGGACACGGCCGATGACAGATCTGAGTACCGGCCCCCGTTGCCGGTACCATGTGATCTGCTGTGACCAATCACAGCAGGTCACATGACAGTTGTATACAATGGATGGCTTCATTCATGCCATCCATTGTAAACTAGTGTCTAGCTGTGAATGGTCACAGCAGGTCACATGCACATGTCATGTGATTAGCTGTGGCCAAATCACAGCTAAGCACAAAAACAAAAACAAATGAATAGATTTCATTCAGGTAAATGCTTGCTTCTAGCAAAGTAATTCTTTGCTGTAAGCAAACTGTGTAAAAAAAAAAATACTGATCACTTCCCCAAAGTAGTGCAATGTTACTATGGTAACATTGTACTACTTTGGTCATAGTAAAATATGAAAAAAAAATTTAAAAAAATGTAATAAAAAAAAAAAAAAAAAAAAAAAAATATATATATATATATATATTTTTCATACTGTCACCAGTCAGTGTCCCTGTTCACCACCATGCCAGTTATATGATGATGCTGTACTGCACTGGTGACAGTATGTAAAAAAAAAAATAGTGAAAATTATTTGTTTAATTTTTTCATTTTCCGAAAAATTATGACAAAAAAAATACAACTTCAAAAAACTCGCCATATCTGTTATAGAGTACGTCGGACTGTCTACTCTGCAAAAAGGGGTCATTTGAGGATATCTTTACCAGGGGCGGACTGACAACTCATGGGGCCCCTGGGCAATAGGGGATCATGGGGCCTTGCCCAAATTCAAAAAAGCCTATGAAAAAGGTACCAGGGGCATCTCATGGGGCCCCCTACTGACCTAATATGAGTCAAACGAGACCTTGCATGACTATATTAGTGCCTACAAGAGAGAAGAAGCAGTCTCTTTTATCCTGAGTGACAAGGGTATGCTATGTTTGGTATCTTTGCATTTGGAATATAATTCTGAATATTAATCTGCCAGTTGCTAGGATGCTACCTGTACCTATTGAAGGTTATTGACCTTAGTATGAAATTTTAAGGGATTTGGTTATAACCTTGGTTACCGCCTAACACCCATCCCCAAACTGGATGATTGGTCATTTGTTCTCAGGAGACACCCCTTTGATATGATAGAAAAAGACTGACAGCCTGGATTAAAAAAAAAGGCTCTTTAACATCAATCAGAAACCATCTAAGAGACTTGAGAGCCAAGGCAATCTTTTTGTTCGGACAATTGGACTCTGCTCAAACCAAGGACAGTGCAAGTATTCTGCCTTCTGAACTCCTTTCTTTTATTTCTCTGTTGTTTTCTTGTTCTCTTTTTATCTTTGTTACATCTTTTTCTGTAAATATTTAATTGCACCATTTTGACCTTTTTAGTAATAAATCCTATTTTTTTGAAAAGTGTTGAAACTGTCTCTAAAGCTTTTAATGCAAACTAAAGAATCCCTGTATCTGGAGAGTGCTACTGTATGTATATCTGTCTGTGGTGGCAGTGTGTATTACAGAGGACGCTTATGCTAATATTATAGTGTTGCTGCCAGGGGCGGACTGACAACTCATGGGACCCCCGGGCAATAAGGGATCATGGGACCCCTGTGTCCTTGCCCAAACTCAAAAAAAAAAGTACCAGGGGCATCTCATGGGGCCATCTACTGAACCTGGACCCTTGGGCAGTGCCCGAGTTTCCAAATGGTCAGTCCGCCCCTGATCTGTACTATTCTGACATTCTTGGACCTCAAGAAATATGATTGGCTGTCAGTACTTCAGGATTGATCAATATTCAGATCTATACCATAGTTTGTGAACTCTATAACTTTCCTACAAACTAAAAAAATACATCCTAATTTGGGTTATTTTCACCAAAGACATGTAGCAGAATACATCTCGGCCTAAATTTATGAAGAACAATTATTTATTTGTAAACGTTTATAACAGAAACAAAGAAAAACGTGGGTTTTTTTTCAAAATTTTTGGTCTTTTTTTGTTAATTTAGCAAAAAATAAAAACCCCAGCGTGTGATTAAATACCACCAAAAGAAAGCTCTAGTTGTGTGAAGAAAATGATAAAATTTTAGTTTGGGTACAATGTTGTATGACCGCGCAATTGTCATTCAAAATGTGAGAGCGCTGAAACGTGCAAAATGGCCTGGGCAGGAAGGTGTAAAATTGCCCGGTATTGAAATGTTAAATTGTATAGTGTATGGCCACTTTTAGACACCTAAAATCTCCTAGTTGCGCTTTCAGTGTCATTA